TTTGGTAGTATGAACGAACGATATAACGATTCCTTGGTTTTAAGTGGTAAAATATTTTTCAGTCTATTGAGGGCGTTTATTTGAGCACTCACTTTGTGGCAAATACTCGATACATGATCGTCAAATTTTAGCTTATTGTCAAGTACAACCCCCAAGAGGTTAGTCTTTTCTGTGGTCCTAATATCAATATTACCCGATTTAAGGAGTAGCTGTTCTTGTGTTCTGCCAAGGACCATAGCCTGGTACTTTTCCCGATATGGTTTCACGCCATTTTGAATAAACCATGTAGTTGCATTCTCAAGATCACTATTAAGGTTGTCTTCAACAGCGCGTATGTTCTTGTTGGAACAATGGATATTTTTATCATCCGCATAATTGATAATCCTGCATTGTGTCATTGCATACGCCAAGTCATTTATAAAAATATTAAACAATGTAGGTCCCAAGACAGAGCTTTGAGGGACTCCTCTTAACACCCCTTCCCACATGGAGAAGGCGGTACCGAGCTTCACTCTTTGATGGCGAGAGGAGAGATAGCTTTGCATTAAAGTTAGCGCATGATCACCTAAGCCATAGAATTTAAGTTTTTCTAGATTTAAGTCATGATAGACAGTCAAAGGCCTTACTTAAATCAATGGCTACTGTGCCGATTATGTTATGATTATCAAGATCTTCCTTCCACTGTTCAGTGAGTGCAAGGAGTGCCGTCGGGCACCCATGATATTTTCTGTATCTAAACATAGAATTATGAAGAATCTTCTCTAAAGGAACTGTCAATTGTTGATGAATAAGATGTTCAAAGATCCTGGACATTTCTGGAAGAACTGTGACCGGTTGGAAATTCTCTTTCTCTAATTGTGACTCCTTTTCATGATGTGGTACGATCTCTCCTCATTTCCAGGAGTCAGGGACAACTCTCAAAGTAATGATAGTGTTAATTAGATGACTAAGAGGCCGTGTAATTGATGGAATGGACGCCTTGAGTGCACGTGGTGGTATGTGGTCATGGCCAGTTGCTTTGTTTGTTTTCATTCTCTGTATAACAGTCTTGACTAACTCATGATTAATTAAATTGAACTCAAACTGTTCACCTTGATTCCAGTTCCTTGGAATATTTGATAAGTGTGGTTGATTTTCAAAAGAAGTGTGCTGTTGGATGTCCAGACTTTCTGTTACATTTTTAAAATGACTATTCAGAATCTCTGCAACTTGATTCTGGTCTTTAACTGGTTAGGAATATCCCTTGCTGCTCCACTGTCTAGTTTGTTTCATGTATTCCATATCAAGCCAAATATGTACAACAGTTAAAATTGATTAAAACTAAACAAATAGTCTGGAATAGTTGGTTAAAATAGATGTCCTCAGCAAGGGTGGATTCAGGGGAGCTACCTCCATGGAGAATCAAAACAAAAAAAATGAAAAAGGTTTTGAACATTATTGCAGAAATAAAGGCACATGCTCTGGACAGGTACCTCATTGTAATTTTCACATTGTGGCATTGGTAATATTTTTGGTGAAACAGTTTTCAAAAAGGATCCAATTCTCAAACTGAGACATTTTGGAGGCATGCCCCATTGATACGGATGTACCAACCCCAAGGTACAGATGTACCAGCCACCTCCCTTTGAAAAATCCTGGATCCCTCCCTGCTCTGGGAAAAATTCCATCCATCCATAGGGATCCGAGCCATGACATCTGGGGTGTCTCACATGATGTTAACAAGTAGTTAATGTATCCTATTTCCTGAACACAGAACATATCATATCTATTAGGGGAAACTTGAAGACAAAGAGTAACACTATATGAGATGTGACTCAAAATATGGTACTGACAGCTGTTTCACCTCTTTCAAATTCCAGGCTAGATAATCTGCACATTCTTTCCTTCCAATTCTTTCTTAATTCCCTTTCCTCCAAAAAGCTTTCACGAACAAAGGCTTTCCAGTTTGCTCTGTCTATTGCAGCACAGTCTCTCTCTTGAACATACCCTAACTTACATCCTACACGATACCATATCAGTTCATCTTCTGACAGAATTTTCCAGGACTTGCTCACCTGGGCACAAGCACACAATTCTTTGACCCCAAGGTGATTAAAAATCTGTATTCCCACTTCCTTGGGCAAACTTAAGTCAAAAAATGGAATACTTGTAATTTCATTTATGTCCTCAATCAGCTGATCTAAAAGGCTCTTTTTTCTTATTTTAGGACAAATCGCTGTCTTTGACTGCTGAATTTTACAGTCACTGTTACAGGTACTGTTACAAGCCTCTCTAGTTATTGGTTCAGGTAAATTCAGCAGCACGATTCCATTATTCTCCTTGACAAATGGCCCGACGGATTTGTCTTCCGGCATCTGTTGAGACTTGTCACTCGACTTCAAACAATCCAAAGGATCCATTTCATCTCGTAACTGACGCATTTCCTCTCCAAAACAATGGAATGCACCAGACAAGTTCCTTTTCCTGCCGGTTAGCCATCTTCTCTTTTTTTCCTCGTCACTTGGACAATTTGCTTTTATTCCATCCGAAATACCCTTTCTCAGTTCTTCTTTCCATTTTTGGCGGAAAAGCTGTAGCTCTTCATTTTCACCATCTGGAGTCATATCAAATAGATTCGTTCTTTACAAAAAAAACGCTTTAAAATAAACATGAATCAGTCTAAATCAGAACGGAACATTTCTTAAACGCTGCTACATTGCGTTGAAAACTGCTGACCGATTATTGGGATTCGACGCATGCTCCCTAATTGGCTTGGTATTTCATGGAAAAGATATATCGATCAGGCCGGGAAAAGGGAACAGAAAAAGATGTCCCGCTCTCGGCCTTGTGAGAAGTTTTCTTCGCAACAAGTGCCTATTATATGTGCAGCAGTACTCCTCATTGGAACTACAACGCTGTTTTTCGTATTCGTGTAAGCTGTGGAGTGTTTTCGTGCTTTAAGCGCCTGTGAATCATGCCCACGCGAAGAGACTTGCAGGATTTCACCGATCATTACTCATTTCTTTCATATTTTCAGATGCCCGCATTTGACAAAGGAATATTCTGTTGCCATCCCCATCTACGATGGAATCGTTACTTTGATAGTGTTAGCCAGTTTTGCCAATGCTTCGGTGAAGGATCCAGGCGTAATTCCGAGAGGTAGGGATTTTTTTGTCAAGCTTCTTAAGCCTATCTTAATTACATTTCCAAGCTGGAGCAGACATCATTTTAGACAACTGCTGTAGATCACAATAATTATTATTTATTTACCCTTGCTTGTGAACGACACCTTTTTGTAACGTTAGTTTAGGATCAGTGTTTGAAAGTGAACTACGCTGGCAAACATTTTGTGTGAGTTAGTCTTTGTATCGAGGAGGAGAACCTTCTGCAGCTGTTTCTTTTTGCATTGTATTAACTTATTTTCGCTTTCCTTCCTGTACATCTCTTAGGAGAAAAATTTGTTTGCCAAAGCTCGTCGTCATGGCGAATGATAAAATAACATTGGCTTAGAATTAATATTTGAAAACTGAACATATCAAAATACGAAAAACATGTCAAATGTATTAAACTTATATCAACATTTTCAAGCCACATATACGTCACCGTGGGCACTGAGGGGCTTGATTATTTTAATCGGCAATAAATTCCCAAGTTCTCTTTAGATCCTTATAGCAGATTGAAACAAGCCGGTATTGAGAATTAAGAGTCTGATTATGTTTTGAAACATGTGTTCAGATCGTAGTTCTCTCAAACGTGACTAAACAACATGTTTGAAAATTGAATGTTGTCAGTTGCGACAAAAGGGTCAATTACAGTGCCCATATCAGGTTGATTTGCTCAATACATGTGAAGTATCTGTCAACAAATTATGTTATGTCTGTAACATATTAAAACCCTATTTGTTTTCTTATGGATACTTAAAAGCCAGAGACAATAATTAATCTGACCTCCGAATAAGCAAATTTAGGGTTTTTGACCCCTTTTCAATTAAATCACATCTGAAACTACTATGATAGCTTGGTAGGCCTGGCAGGTGGTGTGGGAAGAATGAAAAGCTTTCATGAGTCAGGACAAAAAGATACATGTATGGAACTGCAGTAGTGTGTTCAAATATTGGTGTGCAGATGTTATGCTTCTGTAGAGAAATAAACCATCACAGTTCTTTTTATTAAATTATGGTTATTTGTTACATGTATTTGCAGATCATGCCTTAATTTGATTCGTTTTTGGGTTTTTGACCTGTTGTTTTGCTTGTGGCATTCCTATTTCACATTCCTTATACATGTTTACTATTAGTTTTTAGTGGAACTAGTTGCTTTATCTTCTCTAAATCTTTTATTCACAAAATGATGAGAACAAGGTGATTTTTTTGTTACCAGAAAAAGTTCTTACTGAAACAGCTCAAGTGCATGTGTCCTTCATTTTTGTTTAATTCTGTAAAATTTTGTGCTTTTGTTCTGTAGAACAATCACTGACTGACCAAGAAGATGACTTCAGAGTTCCCTTGTACAAGAATGTTGACATAAATGGAATTACAGTCCGTATGAAGTGGTGTGATACTTGCAAGTTTTACAGGCCACCACGCTGTTCACATTGTAGCATATGTAACAATTGTATTGAGGTCAGTTACTTACTTTGTTGTGTGAGTGTTTTTTATTGCAATTCTGATCTTTATTAGCAAGCATCTCATGGTTAGTGCGCTCTACTCCAGATCGAGCAGGCTGGGTTCGCACCCTGGCCAGGGACATTGTGTTGTGTTCTTGGGCAAGACACTTTTCTCTCACAGTGCCTCTCTCCACCCAGGTGTATAAATGGGTATCAGTGAACTTAATGCTGGGTGTAACCCTGCAATGGACTAGCATCCCATCCAGGGGGAGTAGAAATACTCCTAGTCACTTCACGCTACAGAAATTGAGATACTACCGAAACAGGTAGACTGTTTATTCAGAGACGCACGAAGCAGTTGCCGTTGTTAAGAAATGTAATTGAGTTAAGCCCGCGTGGTCTAAAACTGACGCCAAATAGGTAAGCGCACATGATCGCATTCCTTCACGTTCCTACACACTCTTATTTATCCTGTACGATTTGCATAAGATCATCACAAGTCGCCACCTCATTCTCGTCCGTTGTTATCACTTCACATCGATCTTTGGGAACAGAAATGTTATAAAAAACTTTTATCTGTATCATGTTGCACTACTAAGTAACAATCAGAGCGAAAGATCGACGACTGATCATGAGAAGAAGCGCATGGGACAAACTCAGGCTGGAAGAACTGAGCCACAGACCGCGCGAAGGAATGTGCTCACGTGCGTTTGACTTTTCATTTGACAGCTTCAAGCCACGTGACCCAAAACGTTCTTGTTTGTCGCTAACGGCAACTGTTTTGCACGTCTCCAAAAAAACACTCTACCTGTTTCGGTAGTAAGCTCTGGCCTGATGGGCCACTTGGCTTGTATGCAGACTTTACATCTGGGTTTGATTAGCGGCTGGGGTAATTAACGGTAATTATTGTGTTTTGTTCTTTGGTAAGACACTGTCTTACTCATGTCACTGCTCCCAGGGGAGTAGCTCCAAGTTGCTTCCTGCTACAGAAACCAGGCTATGCTCTGGCTGAGTAAGCAAGTAGTTCAAGGATAACATGTATTTCTCTCTTAATTGCACCTGTTTAAAACTGAGTCAGCCAAATTGACCACACCCTTGCTCCTGTGAATATCTCTGGTTACTTAAAATGCCTGTGTAAAAGCGTTAAGTCTCCACGTGAGCCAAGTCGCCCATCAGGCCAGAGCTTATCTCGATTTCTGTAACATGAAGTGACTAGGAGTATTTCTACTCCCTCCTGGATGGGATGCTAGACAATGGAAAGGCTACCCTCTAGTGTTAAATTCGCCATTACCCATTTATACACCTGGGTGGAGAGAGGCACTGTGAGAGTAATAAAGGTGTCTTGCCCAAGAACACAACACAATGTCCCCTGCCAGGGTTTGAATCCCGACCACTTGATCCACAGATGAGGGCACTAACTATGATGCCACCACACCTCCACAGTTGTGGAGGCAAAACAACTCTCTATTAGGCTAATTATAATGTAATGTTTATTGATTTACTTTTTCTTTTCAGAATTTTGATCATCACTGTCCTTGGGTAGACAACTGCATTGGCAAGAGAAACTATAGATATTTCTTTTTCTTTGTGTTTTCTTTATCAATTCACATTATTTCAGTGTTTATATTCTCGTTGATGTTTGTTCTTGAAAAAATGGGTGAGCTCGCAGAGGTAGCTGTTCCGTATCCTTTTCCATGGAAACAGAGTAACCTAATAATAATTTAGATTTTGGGGTAGGAATTAAGGGTTTCTAATGAGCTACAACATTCAGAAACATTGTTACCTGGAAGGTTGAACAAAACTTATTACAGGGTTGTCAGTAAGGGTCGTAACCCATAGCACTGTTATGGCTGAGCATGCTTGATAGGACTTTGATGTTACAGGTCAACTTTCGTACAATTCTAGCATAAAGTAACAAGTTTGTAACGGGTATGAAGGACATGGCTACATGTGAATCATAACTTAATGGCAGGCCTGTATTATAAGAAAGTGGTGAAAATGGTTGTGTATCCTAGATAAGTGCAACTTATTACAAATTCAAATCATGATCATTATACAAGTTCATTTATTTACCTTAACTGGGTAATCAGAATAGCTATCATGGTGGTTTGTGGATTGACATCAATTCCTGTTATCGGATTAACAGTCTTCCACATTGGCCTTGTTGCCATGGGACGCACAACAAATGAGCAGGTGCTCACTCACAAAGTATTTCAAATATTTAAATTGTACTGTAATTAATTTATCAAATACAACCAACAGTGTGTCATCACATTTCCAAACACCAAGAAGAAGGTAGAAAATATGATGCATATTGAAGTGTTTTTGATGAACTTCAAGGTGATTGGAAAAGTGAAGAAACACTCTCTCCAGTGTTTGATAGATCTTCTCAATCAAACTAAAACTAAGGTTAAAAACGGAGAAATGAAATCTTAAAAATCTCTGCTAATTAAGATCCAAATGCAGTCATGATTTCCTGTGTTTAAACTTGATTAATGATTAATTAGTTCGAGAATGTTACAGCAGAATTACATTTTTGAAATAGACCGCTTTAGCTTAAAAGATGTTGAACTGTCCAATTAAGATCACTGATTTGATTTTCCCTTGAGGGTTGTTTCTTTTTAAGATTATCCTTGAAAAGATAAATATTACATTTGTGTGCACGTGAAAAGGATTAAATTAGAAAGAAAATGTCAAAAACCATCACATAATCTGAAGTGGAACAACAAACTATGAGGTTTAACGATATTTGTTGTCACTTTTGACTAGAAAACAATGTATTTTAAACTAAGTTTACTCTGAGTCAGTCTTTTAAATTGAAGAAGGTTTTGATTCAGCATTACACCGGAAACAGATGGCCAACCAACTGGCCTTCAACCATCCTCAGAGACCCAGAGGCAGACTGTTAGTTGGAGTATGATGAAATAAATCCGAAAAACTTTCAATGCTCAAATTTTCCAGATAAAAAATTGTTTGTACTCCTCCATAATTTTGACATTTTATGCTGCAGGTGACAGGGAAGTTTCGTAGTGGGCATAATCCTTTTGACCAAGGCTGCAAGAAAAACTGTGTCGGCACACTTTGTTCCTCACAGTACGCCAAGTAAGCATTTGTTTAACTTTCTTAGCCCTGATAATTGTTGATCAATGTAATTTCAAGTAATCATTGACTAAATGATATGTTATCAGACACCTATGCAAGGTCCCAGGATTGAGAATATGTGAGAGGTTTGACTGTAGAGAGATTGTAACAAATTTGTCACTTATTTTGATGTGCCTTTTTATTTAGGTATGTGGGCTACATGGAAAGTTTAGCAAGGCAAGTTACCAAGCAAGACACAAAAAAAGATAAAAGGAAGGATAAAGAAAAGGAAGCTAAAAACCAAACAGATGGCACTGAATTATCAGAAGTTAAAGTTGAGGTGGCATCTAACCACACTAACCAGCATTCTCAGGTCAATATTGTTTACAGTTGTGACTTTGGTTCTGTTTTCAAACATAATAAGTTGAGCCTCACCTTACAGAGAACTTCAGTTTATGGTCAGGTCACTTTGTCTCAAAAAACCAGGATCCCTGCAATGTCTGGCCCTATAGTAAGGGTACCTACACAATATGGTGCTCAGCACTGCCTTTGTGTGTTTGAGTTTCTTGTTTCATCAGCACAGTACTATTTTTAGTCTTACAGTTCAGACAGCCATGTTATCATTGGTATATTTCTATTCTTCAAGTTTCATCCACAGTGGCATATAAAACCTGTAGGATTCTGAATAAATGGTGGTGACCAGCACTTCAGCCATATTCTCTATCAATTAGCACTCATAAACATCGTGTAATTTGTGCTCAACAAGATGTAAAACAATAGTTGAAAACTTTCATTTTCAGGATGGAATCAAGAACAGCAGTGGCAAGAATAGCCAGCAAACAAGAGAGCAGGATGGCAGGTCACTGCGACCAGATTCATTTGCGGCTGCTGTTAACACAGGTCCTCGTGTATCTGCTACATATGTGAAGTCAAGTAGAAATGGAAGGACGATAAGCGGTAGCCGAGAAGTCACAGTGTGATTTCATGTTAACCCTCAAGCACTGGACCAGATGCTGCATTCCAGTGCAACAAGTGCAATCTTTGAATGCTGCAAATTTGATGGCTGGATCTTCACATGAATCCCCTGCAAGACCATTCCGAACCTACAAGATAGCAAACAAAATGATGTTTGCCCACGCACAGGGGCAGTTCTGCAGGGTGGAAAGAAAACAGACAAAGTGGTTACTTCAAGATTCTTTGCTTGGAAATTTATCCCTTGCCAGTGGTCATACCAGGTGATATTTTCTGGAGCATGCTTTGTATTCAAGGAAAGAATTTCTCTTTCATGTCTTAACAGCAAAGGGGAGCAGAATGGTTGTCTAGAATTTGGGAGGGGTTTTTGTGTTCAAATTGCAAAATTGTCCACATTTGTTCGTGGCCGAACACAAAGAAATTATGAACTATTCAGCATCCTTTTAGATTGATTAAATGAAGACATGCAGTTTCAGGGAAGAGAATTTGACAGCCACAACCTAAAAAGCAGCATGCTGGTATTTAGAGGGTTGTATCCCAAGATGGGTCATAAGGTAAAACTGTCCGATATTCTGCTGTTTTATAAAGTTGATGTAGAGTACAATATACCATACAATAGGGTAAAGCTAGTTTAATGCATACCACATGCTGACATCAATAGTGAGCGCTGTTATTGGTAAATCATTATCCGGCAATATTATTGTAAATAATTTACAAACTGTTGTACATAATCAGTTATTGCTGATAGTGGTGTGTAGTTTGATTTCTATTGTTGTGCTACAGGAATCAAATACATTGTAGGTGCATTATATTGTAGTTTTGTGACAACGATGTTAATATTTCTAGTTGTTGTTTTTGTTGTTGTTATTGTGAAGTTGCAGTGCAAGTTTTCCAATGATGCCAGCCAAGTAAATTCTTTGTAATTTGACCAACTGTATGAATGTTAAAAGGATATAATGGTCTCGGATTTATTAGTTCTGTAGTGCATGGCTTTCTTAGAGGGATAAATTGATGGAAATCTATTGTTAGCACCCAAGGCTGGAGGAATCACACTGTAACAATAAATTTGTTACTGACCATGTAATAATTTGTTACAAAATTGAATTTTATAAGGTAATGTTATGCAGCTGATATGTATTGTTGAAACATAATAATTGGTCCAACTCTTCACTGTGTAAATTTTGTGGACATCATTTTGAACACAGATCCTCTATGATTTTCAGTGAGAGACCACTAAACTTACTGGGAAACAACTAATTAACACTTAGATTTATGAGCTCGAGATTTCTATCATGCATAGAAATCATGAGTAAATACAATCTATTAACATTGTTTTAGTGTAAATCTACTAGTCGTTTAAAACTTAAACAAAATCTCCTCAACAGACACTTCAAAAATGCAAAGAAGCAACCAGCATTTTGTCAACAACCGCACACTGCTAGGCTACTCACTATCTACAGCAGAATAGTTAGTGACCAGCATAGCCAAATATTATAAGAGAACAGCATTCGTAAGAGAACACTATTAGATTTATGCTAATGACATATAGAACATGAGAACAAAATATGGAGAACATGCACATAATTTGTACCATCACTATGTTACATACATAAGTGAGTTTTAATAGAGCCGGAGGATGCTGTTGTTCTCACTTGAATCTTCTATCACTATGAAAGTGGGGTGGTTAAAGCAAGCTAGCTGCAGTGAAAACCACCAAGTACCTTGTGATCCCGGCCAGCTACTCTGCTGGGATGTTCATGTGATTCTTAAAAGAAAGATGACAAAATCCACCTCCTACTCCACCATAACAGCCACCTACTTCAAGAGTTTGTAATAACCCGACAAAAGCTAATATTTCTTCCTTTTTCTTACTTCCACATACACTAAATAAACAAACACTTGAATGGACAGTTATAAAGTGTGTAAAAATTGCCACTTTGTGGTTATTGCTGCCGGGTTTTCAAGTAAATCTAAGTTCTTTATTTCTTTGTTAAACCGAGGGCATATTTTTACACAATTCAGTGATTATGTGCTTTTAGGGGGGCTTTATTTGTTGGTATTCAATGAAATATTTATGTACCTGCCCTCAATTGTTCAAAGGGTGGATAGTGCTATCGACTAGATGAACCTTCATCCACTGGATAGTAGGGACCACTGAGACCTTTTCATAGTGGTAGGGCTACAAAATCTGGCCAAGACAAACAAGCATTTTGGGTCACTGTGGCTCCATTTATCATACATTATCCATGTCATCTGGAGCCCTAAAGGATCAACCCAAGCAGAGTGCCAGGGCTGTAGCTCTAGTAACCCCTTCCCCACTGCAGTCCCTGGATAGTGATTTACCCTTTGAACAACTGGGGCGAGTTAAAAATAGATCTATACTTTTCAATCAGAGAGAATTAGGAATTTAATGTAGTTAATGCTTGATAAGAAGACAGGGTGAAAAGTTATTTTATACTTTAATCACCCTGAAACGATTATAAAATATTTTGTAACTAATCTTAATAAACACAAACACAGCATCAGGGGCGGGCATCTCGTTTATTGATACAGCGAGCATTTACATCACCATAAAGAAATTACAGCAGTGAATAAACCATAAAGCAAAGTTGAAAGAGATGCCTTCGAGTGGCTCTTGCATAACTTACAAAATCTTAAATAACCTAATAGCCCCTAGGGATTCATCATACCTGCAAGCACGCCTAAAGTACTTCTACAGTTAACAGGAATTATACATGACAAACATACTCCAATGTCATTAGCGAAACGTTACAAAATATATTTCTGCTCGTCTAACTGGCTGAGTATCATTATGGTTCAAGTGGTAAAAATCCAGGAGAGTCAAGGTTTAGATATTGAAAATTATTTTGATGACTAGCGCCAAAATGTTGTATTTAACATTTATAAAATGTTATCCGCACGTTTATTAAATAAGATACCGTATTTATTCGATTAAGCGCCCAACCTCGATTAAGCGCCCAACCTCGAATAAGCGCCCACCTCGAATAAGCGCCCACCCTGAAGGTAGAAAAAGTTAATAAGCGCCCAGCCT